TACATGCAAATATATGACTAGGCAAAATAATAAATATCAAAGTATTAACAGTTATCACTGAATGACTTGTTTAAGGATGCTTTTTTTCTGGTTATATTTATAAATTACTTTAAATGATTGTGCAGTGTACGATAATAAAAACATTAAATGCAAGAGTAAGAAGAAAAGAAGCAATTGTCGGCAATATAGGATGCCAGGATGTATGTACAAAGCTTTCTTCACTCTTCTTGTTGATTGCTTTCTATGTGCCAGCATGGAAACTGAGAAGAGCTATTTTACTTGATCTGACAGGAAGAAAACAAACTGACTATCTAACACACTATAGTGTCACTTCTTTAATTTGTGGAGCAAGGGTGATTTGTTTCTACTTGCTAAATGCAGTGGACTGTGTCTAATATAAATAAATGGAAAATTTCCAACTAATGTGGCAAAGGCATCATAATAGGAGTAGCATATGGATAGGAATCACAGCATAGACAACATCCAAAATGTATCCTTGATATGTATGAGAAAGTGCCATTAGCTGGATGAAGCTGACAAGTAACAAAGTTACAAAAAGGAGAGCTAAGCAAGGGAAGTAGCACAAAACTAAATACGCAGGTACTATATGGCATAGAGGAAGAGACATCGATTATTTAAGGTGATTTTAACACTGTTTTGTGAGCTTTGACTTTTTTGCACGGCTGACTGACCTGTTTCTTGAGAACACAAGCAACTTTAGGGCAGACAGTCAAGTTTCTTCGATTCTGTTTCTTTATGAAGAATAATGCCCATTTGTAGTTTGAATTTAATGATACATGAAAACTGCAAATAGACTAAACTGATTATCAAAGAAATTGCTACTTGGTTTATTTTTGTTTTGAGACATGGTCTTACTATGTATTCCAGGCTGGCCCCAGACTTGCAGCAATCCTCCTGCCTCAGTCTCCCAAGTGTTGGAATTACTGTACAGGCATGTGCTAACATGCCCAGCTGCTACTCATCTTATAGATCAATCTTTTAAAAATCTTTATAGGAAATAGCTCAGGAACAGGCAACTACCCAATCCCAATATAAACATACTCTTTAAGAGACCTACAGATGCGCGAGCAGCGAAACATCACAATGAAAGCAGTTAGAAAGTTATTTTAACTTCCCAACACCATCTAATTTATTCCCAAGGAGAAAGCTATGCAGCATGAAAGTAAAGCTCCTACACGCAAGAGATCAAATGGTAAAGTGGCCAAGGTCTCTGCAAACAAATGCACAGTTAATTACGGATTCCTCTTGTTTGGGTACACACAAAGCTATGCTGGGAACAAGTCAACAAGTAGACGTGTAATTAGCCATGTTGAGTAAGTGTGCCACGAGGGTAAACGTGAAGCAGGGTGCAGCTGAAACTGAACTTGAGGCACTGGGCTGCAGAGAAACGCGAACATTACATTCTTTGTCTCATCTCTATGGGTCCATGAGCAGAATTCTGAGGAACCTTTTCACGTAAGTTCCGTGACTGCAAAGGTGAGAACGCGAGGCATGATCATGTGATCTACACAGCACCGCGTGGGACTAGACAGGCACCAGCTAGACTCTGAACCGCAGGCTGTGCTCCAACCACATGAGCAGCACATTTACTCCTAGGTGCAGGGAGCGTCTCCCGCACCCCCTGCACAGCCAGAGAGCGCACCTGAAGAGCTGCAGAGACTCACCGAACGACAGGAAGCCCCAGACCCTAAACGGAGAAGACAGTGCAAGTGAAAGAACCTTGATTTTCTGAATGGAGCCTGCCGTTTTCTTTGTAAAAAATGCTGTCTGCACTGTTTTAATGGCACGGAATAAAAATGGCACTGTAACTTGTAATTTTGAGATATAAAATGCGAAACATAAAACAAGGGGTTATAAATCAGCTGGAGACCAATTAAAATACTTAGACTGTCATTCAAAAGCATTCCACAGAATGCAGTAAAATGCGTGGGTGGTTGGTTCTATTTTAATAACTGAAGCCTGCAGGAACTACTAACCAAATATATCCAGAACTGACTGGAACACTGAAAAACACAGTTCTACTTTATGTTAAGCTAAATAATGAAAATGCCTCAAAAGACTATCTGAACAGTGCTCTGGTTCACCGCAAGGCTCATGTGAGGTTAAACCACAGTTATTTTTAGTGTTCTATGATACTGACAAGCAGCATTTGTGCAGCTGATGTAAGAATCAAATTATATTCAACTATTATCCCCACCATTTGGTGACAAATATGAAACCCACCAAGAGGGAGCACTGGCACTGGAGGCACGAGAACCCGGCATTTCGCAGGACCGTCTGCACACTCAAAACTGACCCGCGGCCTCCCCAAATGCCTCTGTGGACAGAATGCAGCTTGGTGGTGACGACGATATTAATCACACATCGAAAACAACTGATTTTGACTGCTGTAAAATTTGCAGCTTTGAAACAGAGACCCGTAAGGATATGCTCCTTGGAAAAACTGACCCTCACCTACACATAAGACCTGGAAATTACTGTTACTCTTCGAAGTTGTAAGCCCCCCAACGATACATACAGAAAGCTGCAAAGAATAATCATAATACCGCATTATACTGAAGCCTTAAATCATAAATTGTTTCAGAACTGCCTTGGATTCACTCATTTAATTTTCATACCTAACCCTAAAGGAAATGCTGACTTCTCCTGAGACTACAGTAGTTAATAGTGAACCTGATGCTTCTTGTTTGCCCATGTTAGGGAATTAAAAACTTGACTTGAACAAGTGATCGTAAAAAGAGTAAATGCTGACAAAAGTGAACGTTTTCTTTGTTTACTGAGCATACACCACGAGTGGAGTGGAAGAATCCCTGTCTTTTTGACTGTTAAGGGGCAGTCTTTTCCTCTGGTTCCCAGGCTTTGAGATTTCTCCAAAATACTAAAAAGTTAGGAACTAACATGTGGCTGCTGACATTTTATTTGGCAGTCAGTTTAAGAATTAAAAACAACCTATCATCATGACTTCATAAAACAAAAGCTATTCTAATACCACTAATACAAAACTGTCCATCCAGCTGAGAACTGCACTGTGGATGCCTTCCCGTGCAGGCTGCACTCTATCCCCGGATTTTCCTGTTAATTCCTTACTTCCAATCACCACTGCAGTCACATTGTGGTGACTTTTAAGGTTTATAGGTCTTTCTTTTTAAAGTTCTACCGTGATGTACATAAGTAACATCATTGAACTATAAAAATTAAATATCACTTGAGGCAATGACTAAGCACATAAAACCTTACATTTATCAACACACCGTTAGTTGTCTACCATAGCAGTTTCAGGTCTAGGGACCCACCTCGTCACTCAACAGAATAATCAGTGCCTTTCTATTTTTTTTTTTTTTTTTTTTTTTGGTACTGGGAATCAAACTTATGACCTTGTGCTTGCCAGGCAGGCGCTGTGCCGCTGAGCTATATTCCCAGCTATGAGTGCCTTTCAAGCAGTCATCTCATGCCTTTCCCTACACTCTGCCTTGCAACACTCCAGCCCTGGTGACAACGGAGGACCAACCATAGCAGGGAGCTTCCTGGTCGTGGACAAGACTCCGCATTGCATTCCCAAGCCCACAGCCCGGAACCCTGGAAGGCAGAGAAACTCTGCTGCAGGATTGGTGATGATGAGTCAGTACAGTCTCTGGAAACACAGGAGACCGGCCTTAATCTAACTTCCCTTACACAACGGGGAATGTTATGTGGAAGTAATTTCAGTCAACTAAGCGAAGCAAAAGTCCTTAAGAATCAAGAAATGAACATAAAACTAGATGTCATCTTACTTCTGTAAGATTAGTACTTTTCCCCTTTCTCATTTTAGTAGTTTTTTGTTTTAAGTGTCCAAAAGGCACAGGGATAAGGAGCAAAGATAAGCTGTTCAGTGTTTCCAATAGCAGTCTGGTGTTTCTTCACACGATCAGACAGACATGAAAATAAGCCTGATTTTTAACACTCTGCTTCCACTTTTAACCGTCCTCCCTCACCCAAGGACTCCGACCCGCGGCTGTGCAGCTACAGGGGCAGCACCACCTGGGCACACCGATCGCCCTCTGGGCTGCCACCCGCGATCACCTCCCACTTCCGACCCTTCGCTGTCCTCTTCATGTGGCACTGCTGTGCCCCAACTGCAAAAGCAAGAGTCCTCCTCCGTGGGAAACACCACGTGCCCACTTGGCAAGGCAGGTGGTGTGTTTCCAGACTGCAGCAACAGTGGCATCTCTTCCTCTCAAGCGGGAAGGAAGACCACGAGCACGTCCGCTAAGAGAGCCATGCACAATGAATGCTAAGCGATAATTCTGCTGCAAATGAAAGTGTGGTAAAATCTGAAAAATCAGCTTCTAGAAAGTGGTCAAGTCCATTATTCAAACCCAAACTCTTAGCTTTTTCTTATAACAGTTTTCCCATCTTTCAAATAAAAGGCATGAAGCAGATGATTTTCAAGGTGCTCACAATTCTCTCTGGCCTCTGAGACCCAAGGCCTGCTCTGGCATAATGTGATGACCAGTACCTCAGCACGGTCCACAGTACATGCAGTAAAGACACCTGACATGTCTCACAGGTATCACTGGGCTAAGGGCTCCTCTCACTTCTAACCAGAGCAGCAGAGAACAGAAGATTTTGTGCTGTTTCCTTAAGTGGATAAGAAGTAATAAAATGAAATTACTTAGAACTTGGGAAATGAGAAAGCAAGCTATATATACGAACATCAAAGTCTCAGCTGTAAAGCCAGTCATGGTGGTACAGGCCTGTAATCCCAGTACTTAGGAGGCCGAGGCAGGAGGATGGCAAGGTGAAGGCCAACCTGAGTAATTTGACAAGACTCTATCTCTAAATAATAAATAAACAGGGTCAGGGATATAGCTTAGTGATAGAGGGTCCCTGGTTCAATCCCTAGTAACTGATACACACACACACACACACACACACACACACACACAGTTTCAGCTACAGGCTCAGAAAAACTCATTTCTGTTCTTGAAGCTTTTCTTCTCTCTCCCTCAGGGGTGGCTCTTCTGCAACCAAACAGGACCAAATGAAGTTTCAGAAATATGGAGATAAAAAGACAAAAAGCCCATCACCAAGAATGGGAGCTGTCCCACGCCACTGACATCTCGTTGCAAAGGCAGAGAATTCTACCTGATTCAGCCTGGGGCTGACAAAAATCAGGCTGACATCAAACAGAAGTCTCCTTCATGGCAAATGCCTCTGTTGCTAGGTCACTTGTGACATCAGGCTGATACTAGGTATACAAAAAGAAATAGCTTCCCAGTTTTGCAGTTTTCCCACACTTCAGTGCTGGATCAGATGCTCTCTGGCTCTGCGGTGTATGCACAGCAAACGTGCAGACTGGTTTGCTTTTACTTTTGACATCAAAGGGAGCCAACCCCAGACTCAGTCGGTACAGCTGGGCGGGGTTCCACAGGAGACGCGAGCACGGCAGTTCTAATATAATGACATCGTCTTCTGCTGACAAGGATGACAACACAATGAGAACTCAAGACAGGAAACTCTGAGCCTGAAACACCGATGCAAAACTATGGGAACCGACAGCTAAAGGCTACGGGAACCCACTGGACGTGCTGGCCTGGCCTCTGGCCTGTCCCAAGGGCGGGGATGATTCTGCCTCTGAGCGCCACTCTTGGGTGGGCCTAGCTCCGTCTGCGGCTGCTCAGAAAATCACGGCACGTGTCATGGTGTGGTGAACGAGGCAAGAGCTTCTCCCTCATAAGCCAGCTGCACGAGCGAAGAACACATTCACCAGCCTTCAAGAGCACCTTCCCAGGGAGGATTTTAAAATTAATCACAGGGGAAGTTTACTGAGTTCTGTCAGGAAAGCCTTGGGACAGCACATACGGGTGTTACTTTCTAAGTGGGCATCCAGTAAATATCTCAGATTGACTGCCCCTTGAGAAAAAGGTAATGAGCCGACGCTTAAGCAGAAAAGCGGGCAGTATGTGTGCTAGGTTAGCTTATGCGTGCGCCAGCTCTACTTAACGTGTTTCTGTTTGCACTGAGAAATAGCTGAGATATGAAAAGGTTAAGTGTATAATGGTGCCACTGTATGGTGTGGTGAGGAGGCTAAATGACCTCTCTTCTATTGATTACTGTGGCTACATTTAATTCAGTAATGCAGTGATCAAACTAACACCTTTAAAATACATATTGGCCATTTTAAAATTGTAGAACGGGCTTTTGCTGTTTCCTTAGCAAATTGGTAAAGGCAAATATTGGTTTTCTCCACCCCACCACAAAAGAACTAAGGAGAGAACAGGCCATCCTGCTGGCTTTGGACCAGGGGCACAGGGAGAAAGGAAACTACGGTGGGCTGGAGAGCGGATGGGTGCGGTGAGAGGGTTCCCAGCGGCAGGGGCGTGTGAGGTGCCAGCCCTGTGGCTGTGGGCACAGGGTCAGGGGACTTCCCTAAGGCAAGTGGGCCGTGAAACCCCCAACTCCTTTCTCCTAACCTCCAGTTCTATTTTATCTCCAATGCAGGAATATACTCTAGGAGCCCGCTTATTCTTTAAAACTGTATTCTCCAAGTGATCTGCAACTGCCAGTAGTAAGAATTTTAAGTTGTGGATTCCTCTTTATTTGGTTTTTAAATTCCTACAAAGAAAGGCATAGTCTTTAACTGAGTAAGAAGGTGGCTTTGAGGCTTAATACCCGGGTGCTGAATCACCGAATGCATCTCTGACAGGCATGGGGCAGTGCACCCTTCAACTCCAAGTGTTAATTTTCAGGTTGTTATGTGTAGATACATGAGAAATACGACTACATTGTCAGGAGTGACTTGAAAGGGAAACTTGTTAACCCTGAAAAACAAACGTGGGAGAACGCCATGCTTAAAGAGCACTTCCGATGGGTGACGGCACTTTGCATTATGGTCAGGAGGCACCAGGCAGCTGAAGGTCTGCTCTGCAGACCGGCCTCTCCCCATAAAGGCAGTGCAGCTGTCCGGCACTCTCAGCAAGGTGAGTGTGCTATGGTCATTAACACGACCTGCTTCTGTGAAACTACAGCATATGTCTGGGGAACTGAGGTGATGCTGTGAAAACCACATAGTTCCTGTACTTTCCAATTATGGTGAGAAAGAACATTTCCTTCAAAAACACTTCACAATTACCAGTATTTAAGATTTATGCAGTTGCCTTGGAAGAGCTCAGGAAAGTCTGCTTACATTTAAGCTACATTAAAGATGACAGTTATCCTGGTAGAATCAATGTTCAGGAACAGAAATACAAGTTTCGGCTGTCATCTGATGAAACCTCAGTCTGCAGATCAGTGCTACATACACTCCAACATATTTTTAAAATACATGACAGAAAATCAGATGTAGAAAACAGTCAAGGACCTTACAAGCTGTAATTCTTATAAAGGGGCAGTAAAATTAACCAAATGTATCATGGAGTGAATTTTATTTGGGAGATTGAGTTAGAAGAGCTAAGTTCATGAGCTCCATTAAAGAAGTGCATGTTTGCCAAATCCTGTTAAAACCTGAGTGGAGAAGCACAACCAAAATCTTCCCATCATTCAGAAATTAAGCTGTGTCAGTAAAGTTTGCCTGAAGAAAAGCCAGTACATGAAAATCAAGCATAGACAGGTGGTTGCTTACTTTAAGACATTTTAAAACAGCAAGTGCTTCCAGTGCAATCACTTACATTATGATTTGACTATTTAAGTTGGCCTTCATACCTTTCTCTACAAATACAATCGTCTATTTGATTTTTTGCTCAAATTCCGCAGGTCTCTGGTGAGGGACATCACCAGTCTTGCATTGCTACTGGCCCCTTCAATTCCACTTGGCTGTAGCTATATCCCTAATTTAACATCACCCACATCGATGCGCTTCTTTTGCATTACTCCTGAATTCCTTACGGAGAAAGTTTTCTTACTACCACCACCCCCTTTCTCCAGAGTCACTCAGGGCTGGAACTTCTAGGGCCCTGCTGAGGAACTCGCTCCCTTTACTAAGTGCCCTACCCACCCGCTTTTCCTGCCGAGCTCTGGGGAGCCGCCCCTCACTGTCCCTTGGGCAGCGCCCCTTCCCGAGGCTTTGCCCCAGGAGAGCTTCTCAGTCATCTCTCAGCCCCGCACACGCCTCTGAATTATCCCTCCTGCCTTCAGGGTCAGAACTGATAGGCCCGTCCTCTGCGTCACACCTTCCTCACAGGATACCACATGGCTTTTCCAAAACACCGATCAGAAGGCATCACCGGAGCATCTGTCTCTGCCTAAAAGGTAAACATCAAATTCTGTAAGTTTTCTGAGTTCAGCCTAACGCTATAGTCTTGTCCCTCACTATTTTCCCACTCAGACTCTATAAATACGGTGGGGAAGTAAGTTAGTTAGTTAGCTTAAAAAAAATCAGTGACAATTGAAGCTGATTACAAAAGAAACCCTTTGTAGTTAGAAGTTTTTGGTGCATTTCCTAGTATGTACAGTACTGTTGTCTTACGAATGTATTAAAGAACAAACTTAAGCTAATGCAGTAAGTGTGGGACTCTTATCCAAGCCTGCAGTGTATTTACTTGGTACGTCTGCACTTCTGCAGTGGTCACACTGTGAGGACTCTCTGAGAATCTGGTAATAACTAAAGAGGTTCTCAATCTCTGGAAATGAAGCTGCCTTCGTATTTTTAAAGTACTGTGATGATGCCTGTTTAACCTAAAGTGTATATGGAATTTATATAATTTCACAATAATTTTAATGTAGAAGACATCAGTTATGCACAAGTTGGAATCATTTCCCCTTTAAGGGATGTACAGGAATCATGCTGCAAATTTCCAACAAAATCTATTTAGTTTCGACTACTATAGTCCCTACTCAGTATGACCCAGAAAGCGTACCCTTCACTAACAACAAAATAATGTAAAGTAGTGTTTTAAAAATTCATACAAATGAACAAAATTCTAAGTTCAAAACGCAATTCTAAACAGTTGGCACATTCTAATTTGGTGCCAATCTGTCCTCATATAAAGGGCTATAGTACATAATGATTAGAAATTGATAGATTTTAAAAGTCATATTTACAACCAACAGAAATAAGAAGAGAGCTGTTTTTGAAAACACAAAACCAAAACCTCCACTATTCCATTCGATGAATTTTTGTCCTGGGAAGGGGAGACAAGACTTCCTTCTCTTTCAAGTGGTTACAGATCTCAAGTCTTTCGGGGGGAGGGGTCTGGTTTCAAAGACCATGGGAGAACTCTGTCTCTAGCTAACCTTGTTGACTTCAGAACCCAAACTACCAGCAAAACGGGACTTGACCGCGCTCCGACGGCGCAGGGTGCTGCATTAAGCCGTAATCTCGCGGATGCTGGTTTCTGTCATCCTCCTGTCTCTAATCTGTACCAACACGATCATCTTTGTGTTTCAGAAAGAGCATTTCGGCTGATGTGTAACAGACTACAGCAGGAAATCAGGAGCAACAGCTGCTTGCTGACTTGCATTACTGAAATAAAAAGGGACGAACGTGCATAAAGATTTCCTGAAGGGGCCTGTGAAAGGTACTTCACGGAAACTGCTTCCGTTCTCAAGGGGAGTCCACACAGAGTACCAATACTTCTCCAACATGGATGAGTATGTTTATACTGCCCTCACAAAATAACTTTTAAAAGGAGAATATGCTACTCTTTAAATTAAAAAGATGTTTCAAAGTGTTGAAGTGATGCTTTTTTCCAGGAGTCTCACACTGATGGCAGAAGCTGGGCCTGGTAAGTTTCTAACGCATTTAAAACATCTTCTCCAGGAACTGCTGGGCTTCTACAGATTCAGAAATAAAAGAGCAATTTTGGGTTATCTCACATAATTCCAAATTTGGCATAGAAGACCCTCCTACAAATGGTCTGCACTACATAAAAGACAGAGGAGAAAATGCAGACACCAGCCCTGACAAGGGTAGCTGAGCCAGGTCACAGTTTTCTGCCCTGTCCACAGGATACACACAGCTCAGGGCTCGAGTCACTGTCTATCCCCTAACCCGAAGTTTAACAGGTTTCTGGAGTGCTTTTAAGTTACGTGGCTTCCAGAATGGCATCGGAGAAGGAGTAGATGACTTCGCTTTGTCCAGCAAGTGATAAATATGACATCACTATATTTTAAAAACTCGCAAAACAAATAGTACCATATGCTTTGTTTTATTCAATGGCAAACTAACAGTCCGTAGAATTCTAAAAAACTGCTGTTAAGTCTAGGAATATTTTTGGCCAAAGTTTTCTTTTTCCCTTGTTTTATATCTGGTTTGCTAATAGATTTCTTTAGCTTTAGAGTTATAATTAGAAGACAGTTATTACTTTGCATAATCAAATTGTAATTGCTGCTTGGGTGACATCCAACGAATTTAAGCATCAGTACTTCCAAAAAAACAATGGCTGGCGAAAAAAAAAAGAATAACAAATGCTCTGCTCTAATGATCTAAGTTATCTCATAATGTTTGCTTAACTGGTGAATTTGTTTTAGGGGCTGGGGAGCAGGTCATATTAGGTGATAGTAGAGTTATCAAGGTGTTTTTAAAGCACTGATAAATGACAGTTGAAAATAATAATCACCCATGAACACTAATGGAGGTGGTAAGGAACAGAAACTCACCTGGGGCCAGAAACTTGCTCAGGTCTGTCGTTTGTTCATCCCGTGCTCTTGGGAGAGGCACTTACTCACGTGCAGGGTGGGGAACACCGATGCCTAACTATGACAGACACCTGTCAGCTGTGCCCACGCCACGCGGCTGTGTCTGGGGAATCTCCTTCACATGCGCTTCTCACGTCAGAAACCAGAGAGCCAAGCTGCAGGCGCCCACACTCCTCTTTATTTCTGACCGGGTTCTCCAGCCTTCCCAGCAATTCTGGAAGCCAGCTAGAGTGCTTCAAAACATTTTTCCACCCTTTGTTAAATCAGTCAGCCACTTCCTACTGTTCAACACCAAGAAGCCTCACTTCTACTTTCAAAATGTCTCCCAGACCTGTGTCCTCCCACCCCACCTCCTTTTCTTCCACCCATGTTCTCCTATTAAATGTCTGCACGCTTAATCCTGTCTTGGCCTTTGCTCCTCGGATGATCTACGCAACACATCTGGACAAATAATATACTTAAACTTATACTTTCTGAAATGGGCAATTTTAAAATGAGTCCTCAGAAAATGGAAGAACAAACAGGGATTTTGTAAAATAAATCTCAGATACAGAGTTATTCCTTTCTCCATTCCATTCCTCTGTATCTTGCAAAAGATACTAATCAAAGAAAATCAGTCTTTTAAACAGATGTATCAAATCAATAACTTTCCTAATATTAAAGATGCTCCCTCAATTACAAATCACCCAGTTTAACAATGGGGAGCAAATTAGAAGCTGTAACTTGAAATTAGCTACTTATGTTGTCAGTCTCTGATTAGACTTAAGCTCCTAAAAGGTGGGCACTCTCTCCCATTCATGTTTTTTATGAAATAGTAGGTTCCTCCGCTGTGGGAACTCAATAAGTATCTGTTGAATGGAGATGATGCTCAATCACAGTGAGCCGTAGGGACTAAGAGGGCAAGCAGTTCCAGATCTCACCAGGGCCACAGAAAGACAAGATACACCAACTGTCTTCACTGTACAACCTGCAGAACGTCAACCTCAGTGCTTCCTCTAACAAACCATAGAAAGCAAAGTTCCACAAAACTCTTAGGCTGGGAATAAGTAAAAGGTAAAATGAGAACCATTCTAGGGAACTGATTTTAAGCTGTTTTGAAACTCTGTGCCAGCGATAACCTGAAATGATTATGCTCTAAGAATTGAACAAAACATAATGTCCGAATTTAGGAGGCTAAGTGCAATAATCACATGCACAGACATACACATATAGATTACATGTATATACACATACTATATATTTTATAAAATACATATAGATTTCCTTATATCAATAGAGTTTCACTATAATATAGATTTACTCAAATTTCATTATTTATACATTGACGGCATTTACATTTCTCCTTCACAAATAGACAAATCATGTCTTTGTACAATATCAGAGATGAGTTTCTTAAGACAAAATATTGATCCTTTAGATAGTGAAAAACTGTCATTTACTAGTTTGATAGTAAACAGAAATAGAAAAGAAAGTTCGAGAGTCAGACAGACATACTTTCTATACACTTTCTGGTTTCTTCATGACCATTTAACAAAAAAGAAGTTTACTTCACCAACTGCTGGCATATTTGTGATGATTACATTTTTACTGCAGCAATGAAAACACATATTTGAGTGGGAACTCCACAAACAAGGAAGCTTTGAGCAGCATTTCCAGTAACAGATTAATGCATCTAAATGACACCTTGTTGTTGGGGATTTTTTCTGTATATGAACAGACTTAAAGACCTCATCAATTTCCCCCCTGTCCTTAAGAACATAACACGGGCGCTGACTTGCCTCACGCACTTTTCTATACATTTGGTAAGTGACAGCAGGCGGGGAAGCACCAGAAGCAAAAGGCAGACAGCACTTTCCTCCCTCCCTCTCCATTATTTTCCCAAGAAGCTGCTGTAAGCAGAGAGAAATTAAAGAATAAAGATATACCTAAAACAATCTATGGCAACTTCAAATGACTAATTACAGGGCTCCTAACATACACAACAGTCTAGTGAAAATTTTAGGTAGAGTAGGTCCTACAGAATTGCAAGTTAGCACTACACTGACTCTGGGAAGTCTAACTTTTGCCCTGCAGGCTTCGGAAGAAAATAAAAGCATAGCTCTTTACACTTCACATTGTTAGCATGTCATCCTTCTTATGAGTCAACCAAATAATAGATTTGAATCGAAGTGCCTACCGGTTCAGGTGTCAGAAAACACTTCACAATGAAGCCACAGTCAAAAGAACTAATCCTAAATAATTTAACGTGTACTTTACATGAAAAATAGGAAAGCAAATAATTCCAAGTAGTTAAACAAAAGTAACCGAAACTTGTCATTTAAAGGTTAAAGAAAACAAAGAGGCCTATAATTTTAGAAAGTCTGACAGATTTCATAGCAGGACAGAATATGGAATACCCCAGTGAAGGTACTTTTGATATAATATAAAAAAAACCAAAGCTTCCAATTAGAAAAAGTGAACAGGTGGAAAGGGATCATTTATTCTTTTTCCAAAGACACTGTTTTCCTAGTTAGCTGTCAGAAAGCACTTGAAAAAGGCAGGACTTCTCAACAATTGCTTCTAAAGTTGCATTCTAAATGATTTTTTTGCAACAAGATGTGGTGCACATATTAAAAATATGCAATTTTTCATGCTACAGCATTTCCACTCTTTCCTTCATCTGGAAAGTATTTGTGGGGCTCCTAGAACAGAACTAAGCATTACTGTAGTGCTAGGGACACAGCACGAACAAGAAGGCCCCAAGTCCCTGCTGCTGGTGGGACTCCTCTCTCAGTGAAACAGACAATAAGAAAGCAACTGGGAGGCTGTGTGCGTCTATGGGAGGCTATATCCTGACTGCTCCACTGTTACCGTGCCCTTGGAGGCCTTTGCTGCCGTGAGGCTGGGGGTTGGGTATAATTTTATAAATAAAAGTACAATGTGAAAAAGACCTTTTGATATTTCAGATAAATTCTGTTGGCCACATAGTAAGGGAAATTTGTCTTTAAAAGATCAGTGCAATATAAACGAAAGGTAACCAAACACTTTCACATATTTAGGCTTTTGCAGGCCGCCTATGATAAGTGTCATGCATTCTTAGTTTTCAATTCTTTAAAAATGTAAAACTACCTTTATGTCACAGACCACACAAAAACAGACCAGGGGCTGAATTTAACCTACACCCATAATTTGATAACCCCTGACCAAAAGCCCTGCACACTCGTTTTTGAGAACGCTCAGTCCTGTATTTAATGATCGGTCTATGTATTTCTGTGCATTTGTTCTTTTGCTCTTTATTATTCTCCTACCAAAATCTGATAAAATATTCTTCACTAGAGCTACAGGAGTTCCTACTACAGCAGCCTCAAAGTCAGTTCTGAGCAGTACGGCCCCCTGCCCTACCTCATACGAGCAACAGAAAACGTCCTGGCGAAAACGCTTTCCAAACCTACCCTCCACGGAAGAGACAAGGCTGCTCTCCAGCAGCTTCTCAAGGCAGACACAGATACGATCTAGCGCTGCCTTACCTTGCTGGAGGGACGTCAATACTGGAAGAAACGACTTTCCGTTTCTGCTCCAGGAGACAGACGGAGCGAGTGTTCTCCTTCTCGTGGTCAAGGACCCAGCTGGCTTTTCTGGCGTCTCCCGCTTTCGTATCTTCCTCCATGGCCAAGGGGAACAAGTAGTGATGGGACGCTTTCTTGCTGGAGTCGCGTTTTAAGTCCTCAGCTTGAAACGTGAAGGTCATTTCTCTCTTAATGCTCCCCACCTGTGAAAGGAAGCGCGGACACGCTTACACAAAGTCACGGCGCTGCCAGCTGTCCCGAGGACAGAGGACAGACATTCTCCTCCTTGTTCACCTGTGTTTGTAGTTCCAAAGGGAGAGTGCAGCACAGAAGCACAGTAGCTAGCACTACAAAGTGATAAGCATTTACTAATACTGTAACTCACGCTGTACGTTTTCCTTTATCACAATAAAATATGAGCACAGAACTTGAGTAGACAATTCTCTAAAACAAATACACAAAGTCAGTAAGTACACAAAAGGATGTTCAAAATCATTAATTACCATTAATTACAAACCAAAACTATAATTAAGTACTACTTTACACCCAGAGGGCTACTGAAGAAAGCTATAAAAAAAGAGAAAATCCTGATAAAACAAATGCAGAAGCTGGAGCCCTCACACAGTCCTGATTGGATTCTAAAATGGACAGCAGAGGCACATAACAATTTGGCATTTCTTCAAAAAGTGAAATACAGAATTATCCTATGTTCCAATAATTCTGCTTGTAGGTATGTAAGAACAGATTCATAGACAAAAATTTATGTGAATGCTCACAGCAGTATTCACAGTAAAAAGGTGCAAACAAAGTGTCCACTAACTGACAAATGAAGCTACATGGTAGACTCACACGATGAAATACTACTCAGCCATAAAAAGGAATGAGACGCTCATATATGCTAAAAAATGAATGAGCACTGAAAACAACGTGCTAAGTGAAGGAAGCGAGACGCAGCCGCAGCACAGCGCACAGCTCTGTGCGAACCACGACGTGCAAACCCGCTATGACCCGGAGCAGGTCAGGGCGGTCAGGGCCAGGACAGCGAAAACGGGGACTGACTGCTTGATTGGAAAAGGGTTTCCTTTGAAGCAGGAAAATGTTCTGAGAGTGGAGACAGTGACGGTAGTTGAGCAGCCTTCTTTGAGGCCTGTGGCCTGTACGTTTAATATTGTCTAAATGGTGAATCTCAAGTCATAGAACTTTACAGCAATAATAACTGAAGACCAAAAACCCACGAGGTAACGCACAACTGATGCGTCTATTACAATGCAAACAAAAAGCACCACAAACGTAAGAAAGTCCTTTCTTTGAAGACTTTAGGACTCTATAAATTTCCTAATTTAAAATATTATTTTCTCTCTTACAACTAACAAGATTGAACTAAGGTAATTTAAATATTTCCGGCTTTTTATCATGCCCAACAGAAGAGCTCTAATGTATAAAGCTGAACTTCACCTCTGACTATGAATACCACTCCTAACCACACTCCGCAGTTCAGGACGATCAGCATTCTCATCTTTTCTCTACTGCAGTTAGTATCTTAATAAAACCCCTTTTACAGCCAAATGATAAAAAATACCAGGCTAATTTTCTTATCATCTTGAACTAAATGCAATGATTAGGATACAAAATAAATATAAATTAAAACTCAGTGAACTGAATTCTGCTATGTCTAAATCTGTGATTACTGAAACAGGAGGATGAAGTTTTAGAAAGGCTTTTGTTTTTGTTTTGAAACTGGATCTCACTATGGAGTTCAGGTTGGCCTCAAATTGGGGGTGATCCTCCTACCTCAGCCTCCCAAGTGCTGGGATTACAGGTGTGTGCCACCACATCCAGCAAAGAAAGGTTTTTCTGTAAGGAACTGCCATTGTAAATGAAACTTGGAGTACCTGTACACTAGTTCAAGTCCTAAGTATACAAAGAAAAGTCAGACCCCTTGGTAATCTGGATGATCAGGAATCATTTGAGTGATCTCAAAATATGCATACGTATAAGACCTTTCACAGGCAGTAAAATAATCCATCCCTTCTTGTGGAGACGGTTGGTAGGGTCCATTTGTAGAATCAGTTATTCTTTACCTACGTACTACTTAAATAGAAGATACATTTCTCTCTTTCTTTTCTTTTTTTAGACAGAGTCTCGCTAAGTAGTCTAGACTGGCCTTGATCTCGCTATGTAGCTCAGGCTGGCCTAGAACTTGCAGTAATCCTCCTGCTTCAGCCTCCCGAGTGCTAGGATGACAGGCATGCGCCACCATGCGGTGTTTACATTTGTTTCTTTTAAACTTTAGGTAGGAGACAAAGCAGAAAGACTTTGACCAAATAGATTTAGATTTAGAATCCAAAGCCCAAGTCTAAGGCAGGTTCAGAGTAAAATGAGAGGTTCTGTGTTTGATAACAGCAGAGTTTACTACTAATGACTGGGAACTCTCAGATGAAGGAAAACTCAGATATACGTGCGTTGAGTCAACACCCAAAAGTCAATAGCGTTGGGCTGGGGGTTTAGCTCAGCGGCACAGCACCTGCCTGGCAAGTGCAAGGTCATGAGTTTGATTCCCAGTACCAGAAAAAAAAAAAAAAAAAAAAAAAAAAAATCAATAGCACTCCTGTACACAAACAACAAACAGACTGAGAGAGAAATTAAGGAAACCATACCTTTCACAATAGCACCCGAGAAACTGAAATATTTAGGAATCAATCTAATAAACGAAGTAAAAGATCTCTTCAATGAAAACTACAGTACTCTGAAAAAAGAGATCAAAGAGGATCTCAATAAATGGAAGAACACTCCTTGCTCATGGATAGGAAGAACGAACATGGGGAAAATGGCCATATTATCAAAACTGTTGTACAGATTCAGTGCAATTCCCATTAAACTACCATTAGCATACCTCACAGATCTCGAGAAAACATGCCTTAAATTCATCTGGAACCAGAAGAGACCCAGCATAGCAAAAGCAATCCTGGGCAACAAGGACAAGTCAGGTGGAGTCGCAATCTACGTGTGCTGAGGACAGAATCTGCCACGGACGAGAATCTCTGGAGCCCAGGGACGACCTGTGTCTTGGAACGTACTTGGGGGCAGCACCTGCCATGCAACCGCGCAAGCTCTGAGCAGCTCCGCCCTCCTGAGGACAGAGGCTGCGTTCCCAGGACTTTCCTGTCCCTACAGCCAGCTCCATGAGAAAGTGTCTGCTACTTCTGGGCGACGTGCAGCTCATCAGAGAGTCACCACATTTCTTTTTTTTTTTTTTTTTTGGTTTTTCTCCGGTACCTGGAACCGAACTCACGACCTCGCGCTTGCCAGGCACCATATTTCTTAAAGTGCCTTAATGAAGTAAAATAAATGTCTAAGAAAAGTGAGTGTGTGCTTTGACACCAGCACACACCAGCAAGGTAAGAGTGTCTCACATTTCCCAAAAGGCAGTGCGCGCTTTGTAAAATGGTAGCGCAGAAAAACCAACAAATATAAACCTTTCAAATCTCTCTCCTTATTCAACCTTCTGTGCAGTTCTTTCTGCCTGGACATGCACAGTTGAACATCTCTGACCCATCCCATGGCTGCTGTTGCCCTCTTGGTCATCTCCAGCCCCTGTAACTCCTTTCCTTTCTCTTCTTTTTCTTTTTTGGTGTATAGTGCTGAAGAGTTAACCTACGGTCTTTGCACTGAGCTACATCCCCACACCCCAGCCTTCCCACCCGCCTTCTTTGCAGTACTCGGTGTTGAATCCAAGGCCTTCACCCTGAGCTACATCCCTGGCTCATTCATTCACTTGTCTGTTTGTTTATTGCTCGGGTCTGGCCAAATTGTTAAGTTGCCCCTTCTAGACACAAACTGGAAATAGTCCTGCTTCAGCCTACCAGAGTGCTCAGATTACTGTGCCCCACTTTGAGCCCACTTTTAATTTTTAGAAAATTAAGGACATGACAGACAGGTGATTGTCACTTCTGTTCCCACCCTAAGTTGCAACAGGAATACTCCAAACACAGGTATAGAAGAAGAAAACAAAGCCCTCAGTTTTAATCATCAGCAGCTTTGCTGTAAGTGTCAAGTACTACACCATAGACACGTAGTCTAAGCATCAAGTGGAAACAGTAGCTGACAGCCATGCCTCCCTTGGGGCCGAGCGGACTGCACAAACGGGGTCCACCCAACATTCACAGGAAGGGGCAACATCAGAAGTCATCCAACTTTTAGCATCACAATTTTAGAGAGAAAAATGTGAAGTAAACATGAAAACAGAATGCATTTCCTATGAAATATTACAACCATACGCCATGCTGCAGGCCAAGGCTTTATAATAAATCAATTATAGTAATATTCAACAAGGCAAGCTATAAATCTTCTAACATAGTTTTTAAACAGAAAGTCCTTTGGGAATAACCAGAGAATTTTAGCAGCAGGACGGATTTCAAAGACAGCCGAGCACAGACCCCTTGCTCACAAGTGGAACTGCGGAAGCTGCCTGTCCACGCAGCAGCCTGGGCCAACGCACGTGGTGTCACGGGGTCCACGGGCAAGGCGGGCCTTTCCAGGGACGGGCAGCCCACGTCCTTGCTGTGTGCTCCGCCCGGGATGCCCCTCCCGGCTTCACCTGCTAAACGATGTGCTCCCAGGGGACAGGCACCATGTCATCCTCTTCCCTGTACCCCCAGCCCCTAGCAGGGCTGGCATGTGGCAGATGCTCAAGGAACGTGTGCAGAATGAAGGCTGCCTGTGATAAGCAGCTGGACTTTAGTCCTTCCTGACGCGTGCTTCTGACACCCTCCTCCTGACTGCCACCGTCACCCCTTCAGAGCACAGCTTCTCTAGAAAACCCGCAAGGGGAACAGCTAGGGCCAAAGACATCCTGGGTGAAGCTGGCCCGCACTCTGGTGAGCTGCGTGAGCTCTGGTGTTGGGCCCAGGCTGCCCAGGAGACCACGGAGCTCTAGGAAGAGGGCAAGCCCTCTGGGAACAGAGCAGGCCAGTTTCAGAAGCGAGCTGGTGGCCTAATGGGGCCCGCGGACCGACTCGCAGAAAAGGTGGAAAGAGAGGATGGAAGCCGCGGTGCTCAGAACCTGCTCAGATCTACAGCGGAGAGACAGAATCCTAACAGCAGCCGCTCCAGGCGCTAACAGCAGAGAAAAAACGCAACTAGAAAGTATCGCGTTGAATATGAAGCTCTGTGTAAAGCAGAAGCAGAACAAAAGTAATTTACT